TCAAATTAATATTATTTTTTAAACAGTAGGCTGAAAATTCAATTTTCAAAACGAGCAAACATTTCAATTACATTTTTTTACTGTAGATACACATATTAATTTCCATTTTAGCGCCCGTCTAGCAACTTCTTTGTTCTAATTTTTTCTTCATGAGGTAAGCGATTGTTTCCCAGCGGTTGTGACAAACAACGCTGAATTTACGTTTAAACCCGCGAGGACCGCATCTAAAACGCGACAAAAAGGGGCCGAAATTATTTCTCCGTTTAGACGTCTCGCTTTTCCCCTTTTAAAACATCCGCTTTTTCCGACTATTATCTTTTGGATGTTATAGTCTATTTATGCATACAGTCATAGAATGTTCTTGATTAATTCCGGAATCTTCCCGTAGCTTTTTGTGACAGCTTTGTGTGTGCCTATATGCAACTCTCTTTTATCGCCCGTCTTGTTCGCCAGAATGTCAATTAACATCAAAGGTGTACAAAGGCTCTGTAGGTATACGTTTGTAGCAATATATTTACTGTGTTTCATGCCATATTAATAAAGCATCGATCTGTACGATAATTTCGGAGTTTCGAGTTTGTCAATTCATTTTAATAGATATCGAAATATCTTCGAAATACCTTCTTGACCAAATACTAAGCAAATTCTTATGCTAGAATCGCGAAATCACTGATTTGCCTACATGTATATCGAAAGAATATAGTTAATTAGAATTATAGGTAGTTCACGTCCGTGAGAGACAAATTTACTGCATTCATAATGTACATTACGAAGAAACTAACTCGCTGTTAACCATTTACACCACTATGTAACCGGGGATTGACCTCTATAGATAATGTGTAGACAGTGACGGTCAATGCAACCAAAGGTCAAGGTTCATGAGTTTCTGAACTAGCTCTAGCGAACTGCCATCGTCATGGGATCATTTAAGATCGCGTTGCCATGAAGAAAGTCTCTCAACTGTTACAATGTCGATTGTATGTATACATATAGAGAGGGAACTTTCGGAATTATTTGGATTTTTCAGAACGTATGCCGCAGTTCTTTTATCGTAGTCGACGATTATTTACATGGAACATAGCATCGATGTAATGAACCTTAGGTTTAATTGATTTTTAGCAGTGAGAGGTCTTTTACGATTTTATCTGTAGGAAACCGTAAGTGAAGAATAACTTCTAGTACTGTAGAGTCATCGACAAGTAGACGAGATGGTAATCAGTGAAAAAGAAAGGCATTGCTTTTTATTTCAATTGTAATAAAGAGGAAATGACCAGTTAGTTGGTTTGACATGTAATTGGACAATCTGGAATTTGCATTTTTTAATTAGAGATAGAATTATAATTTCTCCTTAATTGCTTTAGATTATGATTCAGTGCATTTAAACACATATTTGAAGGCTAGTATAAATAATAAAGTTTTGATATAATTATTGTGAAAATAAAGTTGGAAAATGTATTTACGTTAGTAGCGAAGGTAGATTCACTGTATATAGTCGACCGGTGATAGCAAAATACATTTATTAATTATAATCCTAGGAATATAGTTAAACGCGGGCGAATAATGAAATCGTCTGTTGTTTACATTTTGGTATTGATTGGTTGAGAAACTGCCTTGGCTGCATTTTAAATCAGGACAATCAGTCCAATCACGACCTAACTTTCAACTGATGATGTTATCGAAACTGTTTCTCATTTTTATTAATACCAAGCCCGATCTTCACTTTGTCCAGGAAAATTAATTAACTTTGGGGGCGTTCTCAAACCTTCTGGATGCAGATGCAGGGCATTCAGGGTAAATCTGTGATATTCTGTAACGTTCTGACCAGACGTCGGAACTCAATTAACACTTTTACTGACGCTCTATTTGGAGCTCTTTGGGGCGTTAGTGTTTTAACCCGCATATATTTCAAACCAACCCCTACAGCTAAAAGCCAAAACTTTCTTCATGGACGGGCCTTAGAAGACTATCATACCATATAAACCTCATGAGGCTACAGGATTCAGTTAAGGGATTTTTGCAATACCTACAGTTAATTTTATTACAAATTAAGTTTTACCCGGGGCTTTGCTCTCGTTGTCGTCCTTAATACGTGTCAAAGAGAAAAGGTATACTTCATTTACTTTCTGTAGCGACGTGCCCCTTTCAATGTCTTGGATACGCGCTGGCAAAATCGTAGGTAGGGAGAAAAAAGCTCTTTATTCGCTATGTGCAAAAGTGACTGTGGCGCTGTCTGTGGCCAATTTTCAAACTTCTCAGTGAGAAAAATACGTTTAAGCTAAATTAACCACATTTAAAATAAAATAGTTTTGTTGGACAAATATCATAATATTTAAACTAGTCAAGGAGAAGTGGTTATATAATAATAATAATGAATAAAATTATTCGAACCAGGTTTTTTGAAGATAACTTATTCTATTAAATTTAATCCTCAAACAATTCTGAAAGGTAAAGCTTTGGCCGTTCTTCATGTCATGAGAATTGAAGAATTAGATGGTTGTGACTATTTTGATTAGGTGTAGTGTCATCAGGCAAACTTCAGTTACTTTATCACCTTATAAAGTAGAATTGAAGGAAAGTAATTCTGATTAAATGTAAATAAGGTTATGATAATATAAGATTAGAAAATTATTCGTCAATCTAATTTCTAATTAGTCTAACATTCATACGAAAATTTATTCATTTTATCAATGTCTAATTTTTTATAGCTCAATAGAGAACTATGTATATTTAAAAATTATATTTGTTTTATTATATTTCCGGATATTATAGTATATACTGTTATATATTGTTTACTTCTTTAATAATATATATTCACAAAATAACGAAATTCTTATACATACTGTTGCCTTCGGACTGCACCTAACGAATTTAGTCGCCTCTGTAATTTGTGTGGAAACAGTGAATTTGCGATTGGAAAACAATAAAATTCGAAACTTGAATTACGCGTTGTATTTGAACAATGAATTAAAGAACACGAAAAAAGTGCTTTCTAACATGGTGGCATAGTTTGCAGGATAAAACTTAATAAATTGTATTAAATAATTTTTTTTTTGAGCGTGTATAATTTCTTAAGTAATTGGATTTATTCACTGTAAAGTTTCTAAAACCGACACTTCAGACGCTGGCGTCAACGTGCACATAGCGAATACTCTCGACGCTTGTTCATTAAACATACTTTTTCATACAGTACCTGCCAAAAGTTTTGTTCAATCGTGAATAGTAGTGCGAGTTGAAAACAAGCGTTGAAGCCTTTAATATGTCTTCAAATACAAATAAACATCTCGTTGATATTTTCAGTAGTAAATGGTACCAATAACAGAACATTTGAGCAATGCACTTGTAGTGGATAAAATGGTCAATTTTTCCGTGCAGTACTGTACGGATTATACGCTCCTCACCGGTTAAGAGTTCGGCCGAGAGTTGTCTCCTTCCTTTTCTGGCCTAATGCTGTTCTTTTCTACTTTGCGCCGGTCAAACTGAAGGTCACATCGCTACAGAAAGTAAACGAAGTATACGCTATATCCTTTTCTGTACCTCTGACAAAGTGTCTACAAAATTTTATGTTGATCGCTTGAGTAGTCGAGGCGTGAAATAGTAGCAAACAAATAAACAAACAAGCTCACATTCGCGTTTATAATACTAATTATGATATTATTTTTGTATGTAGGGACTTAAGTCCCAAATATTTCTTAAAATGGAAATAGCAACTGAAGCATTATCAAAAAAAATCTTACTGGACAAAGGATGGTCATGCTTCCACCGTAGTTGACTGAAATCGCACGAAAAAAAAAAGATCTAGAAAAAGGAATTTGAAATAAATAATAATTAGTTGTCATCTAATTACTAATAACAAATTACTTAGCTCTGACAACTGCAAATTATCAAATGAAGTGGTAAGCGTGTTTTACATGCGCAGAGTCTTGCTATTTTTGATTTTTATTATCCCAATGTACCCCTAAAAACGTTTCACATCAAAACTAAAACTTAATACGTATTTTCCAATTGTGATAGAACTATTTCAAAGGAATCATATCCCTCGCTGTACGCTGTGCCTTTTCAACCAGACTACGCCTGGTCAGTGCAGTGTTCTACAAAGCTATATTTTTTTTAAATATTTTATAGACTCTCGTGTCAAGGTACCTAATTACATTTTTTTCTTTGTAAAACAAGCCTTTCACTGAAAAACCATCTGACCACTTTGTAAAAAAATATAGAAATGTGAATAAATTACACCTATCTATGAGTTATACTAACTTTCGTTTACTTTATTCAGTGTTATAAATTATCATAAAATGAGAATCTGCAAAGGCATAAGTTACATGTACCATATGTTAGTCATGTAATCATGATTAATTGGTATTATTCGTTTTCAAGATAGTGCCTATACGGCTTTTTTCTTTTTATTTCCAAAGAAAACTCAGAAACACACGAAAAATGTAGTAGAATGAAGATTCGGGCTATAGGGCCGTGGTCTAAGTGAACTATTGTGTCCAGACGTTTCGTCAGCTACAGCTACATCCTCAGTGGTAGTGCTGCGTTGACAACGTGAACGTAGATTATATCTCGAAGTCTCGACAGGATATGTCGCTGAGTCTTCATTCTACTATGGATTCCGGCCGTGAAAGCCTTTGTTCTTACACGAAAAATGTTAAAAAAATACGTTTTTAATTTTTTCTGCAGTTAGTATGAATGTAAAAATGTTATACCAATATTTATAACTAAATATAATAACTTAAAAATGGTATTTTGGGACATTTTTAGTAATTTAAATAAATACAAGGAAGTCAGAGAAAACTATTTAATCGGATAGTTTGTAGTCATTTGTTATGATACCTTTTTGTTATAGATTATATTAAATATAATGATTCTCTACCATTTTTTTAATTTAAATATTGTATTCTTGGAATTCTTGGAATGAATAGGAATAAAAAGAATATCGTTTACAAAAATGAGTTTATTATGAAAGTAAAAACAGTAACAAACTTAACAACAATGGAAACAACAAGTTTGACTAAGTACGAACTCAGCAGCAGTCTTAGGTCTGGTAGCCTCCAGTCGCACCACTTCGGTACTCGTCATAACATAACCGTGGCCTAGGGTTCGTTACGTTCACAAAGTAGCGACTTTAGTGTTTGCCATGATGGTAGATAACCTTGTATACTGGCACTTTAACTGGGACAGGCTTGGGGATGTGGATTGGTACGTGCTTCTCCACTTTGACGGGGACAGGTTTTTCAACATCGAAATGAACAATTTTTTCGACTGGGTATGGGACTGGTTTTTCAATAGGGACGGTGATGGTCTTGATGACTGGGACAGCAACGGGTTGTGGGACGTGCACGTGAACAGGGTAAGGCTGTGGTACTGGCACGGCAACTGGTTTGGGGACTGGCACGGGAATGGAGTGGGGTACTGGAACTCCTACATGTTGATATACAGGAATTGGTACTGGCTTCTCAATTTCCACAGTCTGGGATAATTGAACATGTCCTTCACCGTGATCGTCTCCATAGCTACCGGAAAATCCAGCATTGGCTATGGCGAAAATATAGACGAAGGCTACGCAAATCTTCTGCAAGAAAAAGGGTACCATTACAATGATGTAATTTAATACTAAATATGAGGAATTGGTAGTTTCCACAGTATAATTTTAGGAATTTTACTTTTTTTTTTAATATCACATATGGTAAATAATTTTAATTGGAGTAAACATTGAAAAAATTCAATTTATGTAATTTTATAAATATATTTGTTAAATTTTTAATAATTTTTCAACTATTTTCAATAATATTGATTTAAACTGATTATAATTTTATTTACGTGTACTTACAAGGGAGTTCATGGTCACTGACGTAATGTTTCCGAACAAAATAGAAAACTAGAAGCTGAACTGAAACAGTTTGTGTAACTGATGCAAAATGTTTGCTTTCTGATCCTTTTATACCGCGATCTAAAAGTGCAAAATTGTACTTTCACTAGCATGACTTTGGGAGAATAGATGGATGGAAGCCATCGGTTGCTATCGTATGTACCGATTAGAAGCCAACGGGACCACCTCCCAGTGATAGTTCAAGATCGTCACGGTATTTCATTTCGACCGTAAGATTTTGACAAATAAAGACAGGAAATTCATTAAATAGGAAACAATTGCTGTATTAGTCTAATGTAACGAGCACCTGGTAGTAATTGTCGTTATGAATAGAGTTTCTAGTAATGAAGGAGTTATTTCCGGATTTCAATTAAATACTGCATAATCGCTGCAGCATTTATAAGTACACACACTTGATAATAACATCAATTGCCTTCTCATGTATTAGAACTAAAATAAATAAATACGCTTGAGTAAGAGAAACTGAAAAATCAATCAATCTTTAATCAAACGTTTCTTCTTTTATATAGTGTACAATGCACGCAAGTAATATCCAAAGCGACATTTTGAAAAAGAATAATAAATACTAACGATTCGTCTAATTTCTAATTATTTTATTTGACGAAAATTTATTAAAAATTTAAATCATCAACTGCAAAACGTTACGTACTCGGTAAAAAAGTATAATGTGTGTAGGTTTGTATTGAAAGAAGTTTTTCTTTATTCAGACGAATCCGTATATTTACTCTAAAGTTCACAAAAAACTGCAATGTATAATATGAAGTAAATACACGTTCTCTTTTTGTGGAAATTATAATTGATAAAACATAAAAATGCGTTGTGACTATACAAACATATAACTGCCGTTGGATTTTAAAGGACTTTTGGAATTTCTTGGAACTGTTCTTGATCGACAACTTGCAAAAACGAACAACAATTGTAGCGACAGATATTACTAATACTGAAATTTCGAACTACCATCATGCAAGAAACATAAGAAAGAATCTATCTTTTTCACGATAATGTTCGTCTTCATTCTTTTTAAAAAACGGTAAGTACAATTGCTCTTTAATCGAAGGAGGTCGCATTGCGTGTTCCTATGAAGCCGCTAGAGTATTTTTATTTTATTTATTCCAATAGACTATAGAACACTGTTGAGGATCAGCCCATGTCTCAAAATCAAACAAAAACACAAGGGAAACCTTCCTATTTTTATATCATCAAACTTGAAGGTATATATCTGAAGCGTGACTCTATACGGGTGCGAAACGGAAAAGAAATGATTAAAACCTTTCGAAATGTACTGTTACCGGCGAATGAGTAGGAGAGTGAAGGGCTGTATGGAAGTTAGTAAGAATAGGCTACATAGGTCGGTAGGACACCTTTTCAGGCATAAAGAGTTAATTAGAAACACAAACAGGAGTTAAGAAGGGTAAAGGTAGACCTAGATTAGACTACTGTTCGCAAATACATAAAGATGTGAGATGTTCAAGGTTTAGGGAAATGCGAAGATAGCTCAGTATAGGAAAGAGTACAGGGTGTCCAATCAGTCCTAGGACAGGCGATGATGATGGACTTTAAATGGCTATCACTGTAATGTATTTGTATAATACTTTCATGTTTTAATTGTGAAATTGTTATATTGGTTGAGGTGAGAAAGATAAGATGGTCATAATGAAGATAGAAGAGAGAAGGAAACCACAGAAAAACTTGGTCCAAGGCAGATGAACCCGGAATCGAACCAATGTCTTTCCAAATGCTAGCACTAGTCTAAACCTCTAGGTCATGCCGCTCGACGCCTCGGTGTCTCAAAGCCATGCCGCTGCATATACGAAGATGTTCCATGTTCTTTAAAAGAAGTGCAGAAAGATCGGTTACACAGATCACGCGTGCATAACTAAAACGTGACAATATTTACGCGAATAAATTTGTATTTATTTTTTTATTATATCTGTAACTAATATATAATAAAAAGTTAAGTTATAATGGAGCTTCACAAAGTATTAAAGATCTCTATCAATTGCAATAAATTTGAGCTCTTGTAGCCGAGTATTTTGGGAGAATCGGGTACGTCCTGTGTTGTAAAAGCACGGTATATCGTACTAAACGTTTAGAGTAAAATCATTGTGTGACATTCGTCTAGCAAGGTATCGGAAAGCACTGCAGCCAACGGAGTTCAATGGTAGAATGCTTGCCAGTTTTGCGGACGCCGAAAGTTTGATATGCAGCTGCTTTTCTGCCAATCACTACATCCATAATCCATGACTATCTGGTCAATCTGTTAACGCCAACCAATTCAGTTTTTCGTATAAAATTAGTACATAAATATTATGTACAGAATTAATTGAATTTCGGCAAAGGCTTTCGCGGCCAGCAGGTGAACTACTGCTATCCTAATTCGGGTGTAAGGGCCGTCATGCAACTGTCTGATGATGGTCCTTCCATCTCCGATGCTAGATGATCTGAAGAAGCTCGCCACTCGTGCTAACGAAACGTTAAAAAGTAACTTCAACTCACGACGGCCCTTAGACCCGAATCAGAACAGCATCAGTAATTGAATTTTAACCACGGCCGGTACTAGTCTTCCTCTATTGTTTAGTATGCGGACTCAGCTGCACTGCGTTTTAGCAATTGAGTATAAAACGCCTCGTTGATGAAAATTTGAATAACTTGACGTTGGGAAATGATATACATTTAATTTTGGAAATAAAACACAAAAATTTACATGTAAACTAAAGCTAATGAATTAACTGACTAACTAGGAAAATGAATAAAAGTGAATGTAATGTTTTCTTCGGAGGGCGGGAACGAAAATATAAACTAACTACAATTGGTTGAATTATATAAAGAAACGGGGTTGAATGTTTATGAAACATTGACGATATCACTGTGCTACTGCCTGTAATAGATTTAGACTTTTCTCAGTGGCTCGAAAATATGAAACGCACTCATTACTTTTATCACAACTATTACAGATTCTTGTTCCTGTAATTTTGCCGGAACTAAAACAACAGTGATATGTCAATGTTGGGCTCGCGCTGCGGATTGGGAACCTCTGGTGGAACCGTAATTTGAATATGTCTCCATAGTGTATTTGATTCTATAGCATTTACAGAGAGTTATTATTCCCTAATTCTGGAATTGACTTCATTTGATTTTAGTAATCAGTTTAATAGATATTTGCAAAATAACACGTATAAACAGTTTCTGCCTTGCAATCATAGCAATTATATACTGCAATCTCCTCTCATTATTAAAACGTTTCATTAAAAGACCGAGTTGTGTCATGTGTCTGCTTTCGAATCTAGGATGTTATTGTTTAATCAGGATCCTTAATTAAAAATCGCCAATTCGAGGTAAAAGTAAATAATTGGAAAAAAATGGACGGGTGTAAATTCTATATTCGTTGGTTGCATACTGCATAATGATATGTTATAACCATCAAAGGGTGTATGGAGTATTATCTCTGCAGTGAAAAAGCGTCCGTCAAACAGCGTTAAATTAGGGTGGACTGTCACTAACTATTTTAGTCAGTAAAAATATTTTCTTCTTCTTGGCATACTCCAATCCGTCAATAGCTGCTACAATCATTTTTTGCCTACTCTAGAGCCATTTTGGAGGGTTTTTGAACTATTATTTACTGCTTATAGCTGGACACATTTTCAACATTTCCTCATATGAGATACGAGGGTGGATTGATAAGTTTCCGGCTTGACCAAGAAAAACAAGGTTTTTAAAAATTTTTTTTTTTTATTTCTCAACATAATCTCCTCCAAGGCTGATACATTTCTCATAGCGGTGTTCCAGTCTATTAATGCCATCTCTATAGACTGATTCGTCAAGCTCCTCAAAATAACCATTTACAGCTTCGATTACTTCTTCATTGTCCGCAAATCTCTTACCGCCAAGCCATTTTTTGAGATTAGGGAACAGAAAATAGTCACTCGGGGCTAGGTCTGGAGAGTAAGGAGGGTGCGGCATCAATTCAAACTTTAGATCGTTGATTTTAGCCGTCGCAACGATTGACGTGTGCGCTGGTGCGTTATCGTGATGAAACAAGATTTTTTTCTTCGCCAGATGAGGTCGTTTAATTTTCACCTCGTGGCTCAAACGTTGCAATAAGTCTGCGTAGTATTGACCAGTGATAGTATTACCCTTTGCAAGGTAATCAATGTATATAATACCTCTTGCATCCCAAAAAACAGTAGCCATAACCTTGTTCGCCGAAAAAATTGTTTTTGCCTTCTTTGGAGTTGGTTCCCCTGGTCCAATCCACTGTTTAGACTGTTCTTTGGTTTCAGGAGTGTAGTGGTGGACCCACGTTTCGTCAACGGTTACGAATCGACGCAAAAATTCGCTTGGATTACGCTTATACAATGACAAATTTGCGGTAGAAATGTTTTTTCGAATCAATTTTTGGTCGACTGTTAGCAAACGCGGCACCCATCTTGCACAGAGCTTTTCCATATGCAAATGTTGGTGCAAAATATGTTGCACACGTTCATATGACATCTTACAGGTCTCAGCTATCTCACGCACTTTCAATCTGCGGTCTCCCAGCACTATTTGATGAATTTTTTCGATCATATCTGGAGTTGTGACCTCAACGGGGCGTCCTGAGCGAGGCCCATCAGAGGTGCTCACACGACCCTTTTTAAACTCGGAAACCCACTGCTTAACGGTTGAATATGACGGGGAGGATGTCCCCAGTGTTGAGTCCATCTCTTTTTTAATTTCCTTCGGCGTTAACCCCTTCAAATAAAAGTATTTGATGACAGCACGATTTTCCTGCTTTTCCATTTTTACGAAAACCACAGAGGCGTCTTGTTCAGCGTGCTGTCAAACCTACACTAGCAAGGAGATCGGGCTGAAACTATAGCTACAAGCTATCCAAGGATGGTACTATAGAATGTCACCTCAAGGTAGGCCTAGTGGCGTCATCTCTTGGTTAGGCAGGAAACTTATCAATCCACCCTCGTAGTTCTCCTTACCCCTACCCTCCATATTTGGGTGTATAATTGGAAATTCGAGCGTATAGTTGGCCGAAATTTAAATATAAATGATAAGCACCACAAAGTATCGTTAAAATTTA